AAAAAAAAAAAACACACACACACACACACAAAAAAAACACAAAAACAACAATAATAACAACCATAAACAAAACTTTCCCAACCCTACATCATCTACCTAAGCTTAACTCAACTTTCACTTCAAACTCTCTCTATCTATCTATTCGAGCACATGTCGAAAAGCATCTTCCTCCCCTCCACAATCTCGTCAAAGAAATCATCGAGCTGCCCGATTATTCCCTCCGCCCCACACTGCAAAACCCCGATACAACTCCTCAAGCTCTCGGCTCTCTCGTCGATGTCAATCTCATTCTCATCCTTACGCACCGTACCCTCGATCGCCATTTTCAATTCATCCAACGCGAACTTCGCGGCTCGAAGCTCGAAAAGTACCACTCCGGGCTCTACCCCGCCGAGACAACTCACTACACTCACGATCCTATCGTGCAAATTCGCACTCGATGCCACAAAGTTCGAGCCGATGATTAACGGGCTCGTGATCATGACATCATCGCGGTTATTGTTCTCTCGGCAAAAGCTCGTCTCGGGCCAAAAGTAGACGAGCCCACTTAGGAGTATGACCAAAAGCAACGTGCTCGCGTTCCTCATCGCGTATAGGGCTCCTTGGAAGCCGTTATATTTAGTGTACTTCAAATCGGCTACAAAATTTTCTTTGATGACGAGGGATAGTGATTGTACTTTCGTTCGCGCTATGCGCTTGTTTTCTTCTTGTAAGGGTATCATTTCGCGTTGGCAACGATCGATTAACCGAGTGACCTGTCGAGTTATTAATAATTGCAAACATGTCAATATAATTTACTATTTTATTTACTTGAAATATGAATAGACTAATTTGTCTCTCAAGATATTGTTAGTGAATACGAATAATTAATTACCTGTCGATAAAAATGCGCGTTTACGACACGATGATTGTCGAGGAATGATGCCACATTGGCGCCACATGTATAGTAGCTCTCCATGTTCGAAACGCCCGATTTGATGACTTGGCAAGCGTCCCAAAGGCGGGAGGTCTCGTCCATGTACTCGTCGAGCCATTTTTCACCGACCCGTAGCTTTAGCTTTTGGGCCAAAATGACGAGCTTTGAGTGGAAGGAGCGGAGGGTCGAGAGGGCGTGCGAAAGGAAGTCGAACGACATGAAGTTGTTAGAGAGAAAGAGGTTTTCGAGACCTTCGAGCTGTCGAGCGAGGAAGTCAAGGAAGCCACTGACTGAATTTGAGGATGGAGAATGAGACATTATTATTATTGTTATTATCAATGGTGATGCAAAGAGTTTTTTTTAGGTATGTTTAGGGTTTTTTGAAAGGATGTAGAGAAGGTGGTGTGGAGGAGATAATGGAGCTCATGCATCTCTATTTATAGGGTTGGGAGAATATTAGAAAGTTAGAATTTTGTAAAATGAGAAGAAAATATAGAAAACGTCTTAAGATAAAAATGTAATGACTAATTTTTTTATGTAATATAAAAATAATAAAATATTGATTGATAATTAGAAATATGTGAGTATTTTTTTTTCTTGGAAAATATATAATAAAATATATTTTATTTTTTTCAAAACTTTTTAGTTTTTACCATCGTAGAGAAAATTAAGACTGATTAAATAGTAGTTTCTATGAAAGTTTTTGTTTCATTTTAACAAGACATATCTTATAAAACTTCTCTCTTAATTTTGAACTATATATTATTTTGGTTGAAAAAATCTCTCTTAATTTTGATTTGTTCAATGTAGCGTGGCGAATATAATTTTTACATAATATATATTTAATAATAATTATCTAACAAGGTTGATGTTTTTTTTTTTTTTTTGGTACATAAACGGGGCCAGGGGCCCGAAAGCTACGATATTAGAATGCTACGTGGGTAGGTCACCCCACTGATGTCGTGGTCGAGCCAAGAGTACTCCACAAGATTGATGTTAATTATCATATTAAATTTGTATCATCAAAGTATTTATGGATTAACTATATAACTGAACTCATAGAAAGTATGAATTGAGAAATCTAATAAGACTCAAACAAACCACGTATATCACAATCAAGAACACAAATATTTGAAGATTATTATTATTATTATTATTATTATTATTATTATTATTATTATTATTATTATTATTATTATTATTATTATTATTATTATTATTATTATTTGGTCATATTCCTTCGCTTCTTCGACATGCGATAATAGAAGAATGTCCGCTGCATATTAATTACTATAATAGAAAATTAATTATATAATTAATATACATTATATTAAAATTTATAATGAAGTTGATCCACGATTATCTTAAGACATATATATAAATATTATTATATTTCTTTTTGTGGGGTCACGGGATTATTTATCCACCACATTATAGGGTCATCAAATATCTTCTCAAGAAAATGGCAACTAAATTAATTAATCAATTAATTAGTGTTTTTAATTAAATGTATTGCACTGATATTAAGCAACCAGACATGCAACAAATTCGGCTTTAGCTCCTGGTCGGTCTAATACATAGTCAAAAGATTAAGAACTTGTTTTAAAATCAAGATTTGTTTTACCATTAATCTTGATTATTTTTCTATATTCTATTATTATTATTATTATTACTATTTTTTTTTTTAAGATGAGAATATCATATTGAAAATGGTCAAAACTTAAAATCTATTATGTCTCCATAGCAGTTTTCTAAAAGTCGCTAGGTGTCTGCTAGTAGTCGTTCGACCAGCGTCTAACGCGAGGCCTAGAAATCAATATCAAATACTTTATTTTATATTTATTTTAATTACCTACAAAACAAAACTATTTCAATTCTCAACTTATAATAAAGCGACATACTTAAATCTAAATAACAAGATTAATATATTTTAAAAAAATCATGAGAACAAAATAATGTAACTAATATTTAAAAAAAAATAAAAAAAAAAACTGAAAAGTTACCGCCGAGCCCGCCTGGACGCCACCTAACCGCTTGGCCGCCGAGCCCGCCAAGTCTGCCTAGGAAACGCCTAGGGCAGCCTAGCCACCTGGCCAATTTTTTTTGTCGATTTGTGCAAATCGGAGGGGCCCGGAGACCGTCTAGCGCCATGCCTGATGTGGTCGTTAGTAGCGGCTCATGAAGGACCGGTTGTGATCCGGGTTCTAGTCGCACTCCGCCGGGTGGTCCAATCTGGTAGGTGCAGTTCATGGTACCTTTAGGGTATCTGGTAGGTGGGCGAAGATTTCTGGTAGGCATAGCCTGTGGTACCTTTGGAGTGCATGGGTGGTCGGCGGAGATTAGTTACGTGGGTGGTCGGCGGAGGCTGGTCATGTGGGTGATAGGCGGAGCCCAGCTCAACGTGGACTAGGCAGCAACTGGCCACCTAGGTGGATGGACGTCCCATTAAGGTGACCGGAGCCCAAAGGTGGTATCGTGTTCAAGTCATGAAGAGGTTCGCAACCTCAAGGACTCTTAGGATTTTGACCTAATCTGATGGGAAGACTCCTATTACGATAAGAACTCTATAGCCTCTATATGTCTTCACCTATAAAAGGGGCGCAGGTTATTTCATTTACATAATACACACATACAAATTCTCTCGTTACTCTGCCGCTTTTTCTTCGGACCACCACTGACTTAAGCGTCGGAGTGTTCGCGCCGGGACCACCCCCGGCGTGTTTTGCAGGTACCGGCGATCAAGGAGACGTAACCCGGTTCGGAGAGGAGCGGTCCAGCGGTCCAGGTTTGTGTGGTATAACAATGCCGATTTTTAGAACTGTGCCCTATACTTTCTAAAAAGTCAAAAGTTAAATTAAATGAAAAAATAAAAATAAAAAATCAAACAGTTAACAAATAATGTAACATAAAAGCAATCCTATGACGGGGTCATGTGCAATGTTTGTGCTTTTACAATAAAAGTTCACATCTTTAGAGTAAAATGTAAATATTTGTACAAAATAAGGTGAACAATATTGAAATTAAAAAAATAAATTCTTTAAATTATGACTCTACACCTTATCAAAAGCTTATGTATGTGAGTTTTATTTGAAAAATTTATTACTCATGTCCCTCTTGTAGTAGACACATTACTTAGGTAGAATTGGACATATGTATAATATTAATAAAACTAAATTAAAAAGAACATATGATTAATTAGGAGCCTAGCTAGTTATATATATTAGGATAATGGCCTCAATGGGATAAAAATTATGAAATTAGTCTAATAATTAAGGCAAATGTCAAATTTGTTAAGTATGTAATATTTTCACTAACTATTAAATACCAATAAGCACAAAATATGGGAAATTAAGCATTTTTTTTTAATTTGTGAATAATATTATAAAATCACGGGAAAAAAATGAAATTAATATGTGACAATAAATCAAAAAAAGTTAATCACACTTTTACTTTATAAAAAGTGGTAAAAAAAACAGAGGGGATTATGTTTCTCATTTACAAGACAATATTTTTCAATTCACACAACCAAAAAAANNAAAAAAAAAAAAAAAATGACGGCGTAATTTATGGCATATGGAATTAATATAGTAAATTTAATATAAATATAATATTTTTCACCTTTTTATGTTTTTTACTTATTTGATTTTTGTGTAAGCTATTAACAAGACACCTTTAAGTTGCTTGATTTGGCCTTAGACCATTGTGTCCACTTCATGAGTTGAATAAAATATGAAATAGGCTGTAGATTTTTTTTTTTAATATTATTATTTTTTCTAATATATAAAATATTAATTAGAAAGAAAAAAAAAAAGATTCTGCATATGGTATTGATATGGAGTTGAAAGATTCAAAATACGAGGTATCTTTTGCACTTGTCCGTGCAAATTAAAACTAAAATATGGTATGGACATATAATTTGGATATTGAAGATTAAATACTATAATGTATATTGATGATTAATATATTGAAAATTGAGTACGGACACAAATTTAATTGAGAAAATTACTCTTTCACGAGATAACATCATTTATATTGCACGTTTACCATCCAATTAAATTATTTAACAAAATTTCATCTTTTATTTGTTGTAATACATGAAACAGTTGACAAATAATTTATACATAATTATAGAAATTAGCGGATTTAGTGCAATTTAATTTTCTTGAGAAAACTGACATCCATTTTACACGCTCACTACACATTTACTTTGTCAACCATACAAACGTAATGGCCAAAATTGAAATCTTGCCATTAGTTGGTAGAAGCCCCCATCGCAGCGCCAGTGTCGCTGCACACAAGGGATTTAGTTCTTGCCACAGAAAAATGTCGTCGATGTCCCGTTCTGTCGTTGGCTGGAATTACGAGATACTCGAGTGTATACTTTATGTGTTTTTGATGTATATGTGTGTTTCGATATGGCGCTGGACTAAATTACGAGGAACTCGAGTGTATATTTTATGTACCTTTTATGTGTCGTGAACTGTCACTGGATTGAATTACGAGAAACTCGAGTGTATATTTTATGTATCTTTTATGTTTATGTGTGTCCAAATATGTCGCTATGAATTGAATTACGAGAAACTCGAGTGTATATTTTATGTATCTTTTGTGTGTATGTGTGTCTCGAATTGTTGGATTGAATTATAAGAAACTTGAATGTTTATATTATGTATCTTTTATGTATATGTGTGTCACGAACTGTCGTTAGGTTGAATTACGAGAAACTCAAGTGTATATTTTATGTATCTTTCATGTATATGTGTGTCTTGATATCTTGCTGGATTGAATTACCGATTACGAGGAACTCGAGTGTATATATTATGTCTTTTATGTATATCAGTATATGTGTATCACGATCTGAGCTAGCTTGAATTACAAGAAACTTGTGTGTATATTTTATGTACTTTTTATGCAATTCAAAATCTACATCATTTAATTTTGAATTGAACAATATCCTAGATATTAGGATATACACACTTACCATATATTTTGACACTTTTTTTTTTTTTTTTTTCCAGCGAAAACGATAACTATTACTTCCCGCAATTTAAGGAGAATAGAACTTTTTGTTTTGAAACCCCGATATTTTGCATAATCACGAATACCAGAAATTCTATGGAGCTATTGGATGACCCTCTTACAGAGTCATCCACAACTTTATGTACTTACACATGTTCAATGTACATTTATTGCAAGACACGTGTTAATACACCATTTGTAAATAACTATGGATGACTCCATAAGTCGAGTCATCTGATAGCTCCGTAGCAAAATCGTCACATATACATGCCACGAAAATGGTAAGTTTGCAATAAAAAGGTCTCCCTTAGCAATTATTTTTAAAACGTTGGGTAAAATTAAAATTTCAAAATTAAATTGGCGAAATTTTATATATACTTAGCGCAAATTAAGTATTTATAAAAATATCATAGAAAGTTATTGTATTGCATTCCTATAAAATAGGGATGAAATAATTGCAGATATGCCAGATGCATTCCTATAAATGTAACCAATCAGTATTATGAAACCGCTTTTCACGTGAAGATA